AAGACTAACTGATTCATCGAACCCAAAAATTGTAGCGATGAGTATTAACATATTATGCATTCAACCATAAATATGAACAGGGTACTTGCAAACTCTAGATACAGTTTAAGATTCAGAGTAGTGAACATCCTGACCGCTTACGACGCACCAGGAAAATGAAATCTAGGGTGATTTACCTGGGAAAAAAAGGAAATAATGTTAGCATAATAGGGGTGGAGACAGGCTAATAGGCAATAGCCAACTCATGTCCGAAAGCACAGTTTGATTCCAGGTGAATATTGAGATTGAAAAATGAAAACTCGCCACCAAACCTGCTTTAACTGTCTAACAGCAGCGTGATATCGTTGTAACTCGTCATCGCTCATCATCCGGTACTCCTTTCTGTCAATAAAACCTTGAATTAAACTAGCTCAACCTTTTTGAAAACTGTATACAACCTTATTGCCTTTCTCAACATTTGCCCGTTGGGAAGTGAACATTGGCCATTAGGAGCTACTGATCCTATAACAATTCCATATTAATCATTAGGCTTTTGACCTTACCTCACATGCGTTAGGCCATACCTCTTAAGTAAGTGCAGAGACATTGCAAGTCCATGCATTGGTATATGGTGCTGGCTATGGGTGCAAACTCTGCTGCAAGCGCTCTGCCGATCATTCCTTTTATTCCTGGAGGTAAGGCCAGCTTTTTCTTACTTGCCTGCCTCTAGAATGAAGAGCTATCAATAGCCGGACAACAATCTCATATCTTGTTATTATTTCTTACATTAAATTAATTACGCATGCGTAAAATTCTGCTTTTGAAAATTCAGGCGCTAGAGATTTTGTGTCTACAAAGTAAGCTGAGTCTAGAACATCTAGATAGTGATTCGTTTTTGGATGTAAAGTGATATAGCGATGATTTGCAAATGTTCTTCAAACGTCTTGTCCTTCAGCCCTCCCACCTCTTTTCGGCTTCATTTGTAGCATCTATTGCTGCCTAGAAGACTTCTAACTCTCTTCAGCGAACTGCAGCATTTCTCTTTTTTTCTGGAGGGTTGGAGAGTCGTGCTTCGACCTTTGTTAAGTGAACGCGATTGTCGAAGCAAGGTAAAGCAATCTATGAGATCAGAATCTATTGATGGCTGACTCAAACTTTACTCAAAATTTGGTCCGCCGCAAGTCTCAGTCTAAAGTGAATATAAAAACTGCAACTTGCTATGACCTGTGTGTTTTAGCAATGGATTGAGTTGTGTAAATTGACTATCAAAATTTTCGTTGGAATACTCACGTTTCCTATTTTTTTAACATATCCTATCATTATCGCTTATATTTAATTTGACTGCAAAGGAATATCATAGAAAATGTGAAAAGCTTCTATTGAGTTTTCACAACTCACAAG